CACCCTTCGTGTGTCAGGCGATTCGGCGTCCGAAGCTCTCGGTATTGCTGGTGTCGCGATTGCGCTAAGTGCCAAGTCTGAACGCTCGCTTCTCGACTGGATTCCAGTCAGTAGCCGACTGCGCCGTACGTCTCAACGGTTCAGCGCGGGCCAACGAAGCGTCGATGCCTATTCGTCGTGTCGGTGTATGCACCAACCAATTGCAGCACACCTAAAATCAAGGATGAATTCTACAAGGACCTTTCTCGATTACTCCAAAGCGTTCGATCAACGGACGTCGTGGTAATCGCCGGAAACTTCAATGTTCAAGTGGGATCCCTGGACGAATCATAAATACTTCTTGGTGGACCACATGCAATCCCAGACAACGGCGATCGCCTACTTCAACTCTGTGCCGACCACGGATTGTTCCTGTCAAGCATGAACTTTTCGCACAACAAACGATATCGTCTTACATGGTAACCGCCAACATCTTTACAGTGCTGGACCCAAATCAACCACATCTCCATCAGTTACCGCTGGAGGAGACCAATTCAAGACTGCCGCTCTTACTGTTCAACACCTGTTGATACCGACCACGCTTTGCTACGAGCGAAATTCTCCTTATGCCTGGCAAACAACCGTAAAACAACCACCGACAACGTATACCCACGATACAACGTCAACAGTTGTGGCAAATCAGCCTTCGAAGCGGAACTCTCCGGTCGCCTGTCAGTTCAACCACCAGCCAAATGACCCAATGAACACTGGAAGGAAATGAAGGTAGCTATGCAGATATCAATAAAAACAACAACCGACCTCGGCTGCCCTGCTGGACGCCCGCAAAACCCCTCGAGTGCCACATATGACACAGCACTCAAATCCCTCAAACACCAGCTCATGAAGAGTCTTCGGAATGATCGCGAGAAATGGTGGATAGGAAAGCATAGAGAGATGGAGCAGTCTGCGGCCATTGATGATAGTCACAATCTTTTCCGTTTAATTAGGAATACGGGCCCTAGGAAAATAGGCGTAAGTGAGCTGATTAAGGAATCCGATTGCACACTGATTCACGATAAGCAACGCCGTCTTGATCGATGGGCTGAACATTTCGAAGTTCAGTTCAACTGGTCCCCGTCGACATCTCCACTATCACCCTCCACCGCAACTGCGCAAATTCTGCCAGCTGATGCCAGTACTCCATCTGACATGAAGGTTTCCCGGGAAATAAGCTATTTCAAAAGACATCGGGCCTCCGGCCGAGACGGTGTTTCCCCATCCGTTTTCAGGGATGGAGGTCTATCCTTGGTTTCGGAGTTAGCGTAACTCCTGGGCTCAGTGTGTTAGAGGGAAGACGTTCCAGCTGAATGGTGTGAATCATCATGCTGATTGACAAAAAAATTATCAGATCCTCTTGTGAAAACCACACAGGAATTAGTTTAATCAACGTTCCTTCTGAACTTCTCGCTGGAATCATACTCCATCGATTAATTTAAAAGTTTATTTCAATATTACAATCCCTTTGTACTAATGGCCAAAATCGAATCTGAGCTTACGGCACGTTTTCGCCCGAGTTCACCACGGAAAGTGGTGTTCGACAGCGTTGCCCTCTCCGTTTCTATTTAACTTTGTTATAGATTTGATTATGAAAACAGCCCTATCCTCATGTGAGGTTACTGGCATCGATTTACTCCCAGGCGGCGGGCTATCTGATCTAGAGTATGCAGACGACATTGTGCTACTAAGTGAAGATCCAGGTAAGTTACAAGCTTTTCTGGATAGTTTGAGTGCTAGTGTAGCCATGTTCGGTATGCGTTTTGCACCTTCGAAGTGTAAAATGCTACTACAAGATTGAGTTGGTCCGGCTCCCAACCTCACACTGACTGTGCAAGTGGATAAGTTTTGTTATCTGGGTAGCTACATCTCACTCGGTGGACGCATCACGGATGAGGTGTCAACTCGCATATAGAAGGCTCGGTTGGCATTTGCCAACTTGAGACATCTGTGGCACCGTCGCGACATCCGGCTGTCTGTGTGAAGGGTCGAGTATATGCTGCAGCAGTTCGACCAGTTCTGCTATATGGAGCAGAAACTTGGTCAATAAGAAAATAGGACAAAGATAGACTGTCGGTGTTTGAACATTGCTGTCTACACAGCATTGCACGATTCTAGTGGGGCAGCCGGACGAGCAATACTGAGTTCAGGCGCAGAGTTTTAGGTATCCGCGGTCGCCCACTGGAGCAAGTGGTAGATCTCCATGGATTACGTTGGTTGGGGCACGTGTTACGCATGTCACCAAATAGGTTGCCACGGCGAACGATGTTTACCGGGGCAGGTAGTGGTTCGAATAAAGCCGAGGGTGGCCAAGTTGGCTT